CAGTGTTTTGTAAGAGCAAGTTTTAAAATCAGGAAGAGGCTGAGGGAGATCTGAATTTGCTGTATCAGCAGCGATGCCGTTTCCCCGACAGCCCCTAAGCCGGAGGCCACAGTCACCAGTCTGCGACCTCAGAGGCACCGAAGTGTGTGTCACCTGGGTTGGAAGAACAATATCTTTAAGAGGTTTTTTAGATGGATAATATTTGGCCACTTTATCCAGTTTGTTAAAGAAAAAGAATTAAATTTGGGACACAGCAGAATAAATCAAAGGGCATTGTTTCTTCATATATATTCATATAGAGTAGACATTAAGGTTTAATTGAAACTTAATGTATAAAATTATCAGAACAAATATCTCATATTAACCTCTACTTTTAAAACAACAGGAATCATTAAAATGGTAAATTGTTAATTAAGAATAATTACATTATTAAAAAGTGCTAGTATATGGACACCAGAACGCAAGCTATAGATATTTATGAAAAATATTTGGACCTCTGAATGCATTTTTTTAAATAAAATCAGGATTTTTTCTTTTTCAATCACAGCCGACATACAACATTATACTCATTTCAGGGGTAAAACAGTGATTAGACATTAACGTAACTTATGAGTGATCACCCTGAGTATAAACTGTGTATATTGAGGCTTGTTTTCTAATTCTGACTGCCTCCAAGGTTGCAAACGTCCCTGGGGCCAACCTGCTGGGTCTCCCCAATGTTACACTTCTGCTGAGGCTCTTGGTCTTCACCTAACTGTCCCTCTGAGCAGCTGGCTGATTTGAGGTTAGAAAGATTCAAGCCGATTTGGTTTTAAAAGTTTCAGATTCTCTGAGATGGCTGTTTTTGTGCCCCCAAAGCCCTAGACTTTTACTCATTTAAGAGAAAAGAAAATGTGTCTCTTTCCTCTGTGCCAGAGGCATTTCGAGTCCAATGCTCGTTAGTACAGGACTGAGTCTCCTTCCCTTTCCCTTTGCCCCTCAGAGGCTGGGCCAGCTTCCTAGGCATCCGAGAAAGGCAGGTTCTTGGGCTCCACCCCAAAGCTGCTGAAACAGGCTCTACGTCTGAAGGAGTTCTCTGAGGGTGTACAAGCGCCACTAGGGTGAGTGGCTGTCACCATTGCTTCGTGGCTGTGTCCTCTGTGCCTGGCTGGCTCTGTGCCATGGCAGCCCTCCTCACACAGACCAGGACTCCCACACAGATAATATGACCCCTAAGGCCCCGAGGTCAGGCAGGGAGGGAGCAGGGAGGGCTCTGCCCCACAATCACCCCCCCAGGCCAGGTTGCTGTCAAGTTCAAGTCTGCCCTGATTTGGTGGGCCATTTTGTACCTCAGCTCAGCCAAGTTTTATTCTCCAATCCTTTTCATCCTTCCATGAAATTTTCAAATCAGTACTAAATGAGATAGAATATAGCAAAATGGTTCGTGAGCAGAAGTTTCTCTTTCCCTCAGGCTGTGTTCTCTTTCCTTAGCCGTAAGGCAGGGGTCAAGTGGGGCGGTGTAATAACTTTTGTTTATGAAACCCTATGTGGCTGACACTCATTTTCCTTCTCTGAAACAAGATGAGAAGGCCCAACTCTGGCGTGTTCCTGGCAGGGCCTGGCCACACCAGAGGGACCCTGAGGCAGGGCTGCGTCAGCACAGGGTCCAGTGCCACAGCATTCTCTGAACACTGTTCATTGTTATCACATTGAGGACATCGAAACGTGAGTCCAGTTTCCAGGCATATCACTGACCACTTGACTGGCCTTCTCAAATGTACCCGGTCTACCTCATACAAAGCTCTAGGACTACACAGTTCCATCCCAGCCAACGCTGCTTAAACATCAGAGTCAAAGAACAGGAGTCAAGGACTGTGTAAGAATTAAGAGAAGCAGCAGCCAAGGCCCCCTTCAGTGTTTGAAGCAGCTTTAGTTTGTTGGCTAAAACAGGTAGTAAACTTAGATTGTGCCTTACTATCCTGTAACATCCGATCAGTTCCCGCAGCTTGTTCTATGGCCTTCTATTCTTCCAATAAGATGCTTTATTTTTTTCTCTTCAAAGCAGTCAAACTTCAACTTTTAAACTGTGACCTGGTTATTTCGAAACATCACTGGTGTGTTGAAATTATTAGAGAAATTGAGAACGACGGAGGAAAGGGGGAGGGAGAGAAACAAAACCGAAGTGTGATTACAGCTAATTGATTTCTTTCTAACATAATTCCAGTCTTTCACATTGGTTTTATGTCTCGTAACTGCTTCCTAAGTTTGGGCGCCTGGAGGGATCAGCTTGACGGTGTCTGCTTCCATTTGCCGTGCTTGTGCCTGCTGTTCCATGAGGAAAGAGTGCAAGGAAGCCCATGAACTTTCTCAAAGACACCTCCTCTAAAACAGATACTTCCCAGTCTCATGAGTTGAGAGTCATGATTTTTAAAAATCTTTACCCAAGGATATAGTTATTGATTTTAAGAGAGAGAGAAGGGGCGGGGAGAAAAAAAACATCGATCAGTTACATCCCATATGTGCCCCAACCAGGGATCAAACCCACAACCTTTTGGTACATGGGGCAGTGCTCCAGCCAACTGAGCAACCTGGCCAGGGTGAGAGTAATGGTTTTTATATAGTGTTCTAAATGGTACCAAAGCCTGCCTTAACAGACAGGTCAGTAGTGGACATTTTAGGCTTCTGCTCATATAATAGAATTAAGAGACAGGCCATTATGAGCTTTAATGCTAGTGGATGTTATATGTTAACTATAGCTCATCACTCAAAGAACATTTTCCTAAGAACAGCAAATGCAGGAACTATAGAAAAGTTGAGTCACGGGCCAATATTCCCAGGAAAAATTGGAAGTAACTCACTTGGTATTAGCTCCTCAGAACCATGTGACTTTAGATGAAAAAGGGGTAGGAATCTCGTTCAGGCATCTCATGTCACTCGTAGATGAGGGGACTTGTCCCCAGAAGAAGAGGTACAAGCTCTGTCTCCTGTTGCCTGCTGGGCCATCTCCCTGCCTGCTGGAGGTTTGCCGTGGTCCTTAGACAGAAAGCCGATGGGTACGGATGTCAGTCCTGTCCCTCACTCTGCCCCTGAACCTTCTGTCACTGCCCCCTCCCTTGATGAATTTTGGAAGCTACAGAGGTACTCAGTGAAGAGGCCACAGCTGCTCTGCTGTAGGAAACATGGCCTGTCCTGGGAGCAGACTTCTCTCAAGCTCCCTTGGTGTGACCCGGAGGGTTTGTCTCCAAGCCCAGACTCTGCTGGTCCTTCTGTCTGTGGGCCCCCTTAGTGGAAGGGGGCCCAGCTCACCTTCCCAGTGAGGTGAACCCAGGGTGGGGGATGGACAGAGCCAGAGGCCAACAGAAACAGAGTAATCGTTGCTTCTTTTCTGGCGCTTCCTTCAAAATATGTTCAAAGACACAATCTCCTTTAGTCTTCATAAGAGGAGGTGGTTTTTTTAAAAACTAAATTGAAGTATAATAGAACCACACAATTAAGGAAATCATTATGTATAACTTGCCTTGAGGCTTCTCAGATCTTGCACAGGAAAGCATTTTTATTAGAACAAATCCTTTTGCAGATTACCAAAATTGTCTCTGACAAAACATGGCAATTGGGTGTATTTAGAGATTAAGAGTTTCAAAAGATAATAAATAAAAAGAAATATCACCCCCCAGTTGTTATTAATAGACACTTCATTTTTTTTACCATGACAGCAGATGATTTTATGGTAATATTACTACTTATTTTATAAATTAGTTATTTAACATATTAGTTGAATACATTATTCAATAGTCCTAATTATAACCAAAAATGCTTAGAAGGTCTTTACCAGTGACTTTTGAAAGCTGATGGCCTCCTAGGTATTCTTTGCCAGCAGCAACAGACGAAGGGAGGAGCTGTTCCAGGGCTGCAGGGATAAATGCTTTATTGTTTCGCAGTAGAAAAACTCTCTACAGATACACACTGGAAACTGACAAGTGTTTCATTCTATCGGTGTTGGTTGGTGGGTGGGAGTAGGCAAGTTTAGAAAGCCATGAATTAGTCCCACGAGGGAGTAGGCAAGTTCAGAAAGCCATGAATTAGTCCCACGAATGCTTAACTGTTGCTCAGGTTCTCTATACAGTAATATTTTAGGTATGATTGACATTTTAAGATTTTGTTCTTTGTTTTCTAGGAGGGACAATACCACCAAACTAACTTTTGATTTCTGCTCATTAAATGTGAAAAATGATGGAGTATTTCAAACCAAATTGTCTACTTCTATACTTAATCTGGAAATATTTGTAACTTTTTCTAATTAAATAAAATAATCATTTTATTTTAATAAAATAATTTTTTTAAAATAAGCTTGTAATAGGATGGACTTCGTAAGCATTCTTTGCTTCCAGGAGAAAGTGTTTTTTAATTATTGATTGGCAAAAATAAGATAACTCAAACATACTGATCACTAAAACATTTTGTCATCTTCACTGCCGATCCCATTTCTGTCCAACGCTTTAGTTGTTGAAGAGTTAAGTTGCTTGTTTCCAGTATTAATTGAGAGATGAGTAGTAAGAAATCAGAAGTTTTGCTTCATTTCGAAACAGACAAAACTTAACCAATATTGCAGCCTAAATTAGCAGGTAGGGATTCTTAGGAACCCAGCAGCATTTAACGAACCGGGCTTTGCTAACTAAACCCGCATTTCTACATTCATCGAGCATTTCCTGGGTTTGGACAATAGTGAAGCCAACTGGGTGTGATCAGAGGCGGTTCCCACCAATGGGGAAGCAGCTGGAAGAGTTCACGCGTGGGAAATGTCAGCCCTTTTCTCCCAGACTCCAGCCTCTGCCCGCGACGCGCGAGGCTCGGGGCTCGCACTCGGGGAATCGCGTGGCCTCCCCGCGAGGCCCGGGCGCCGCGGGGGAGCGCTCTCGGCTGGCGGCTGGCGGCGGTGGAGGTGGCGCCGCGGGTTTCTCGGTGGCTGCTGCCGTGATGTCACTCGCCCATCCTAACCCGCAGTTGGCTTTTCTGTGTTTCAGCTCTGCCTGCAGTTGAACACAAAGAGCTGGAGGAGACTCCCACATCCGCGGGGAGAAGAAAGGAGGAGGCGGAGCAGATTCCAGGAACTTGTGGCTCGTGGCCTTTTTGTACCAGGGCTGCCTGAAAGGGGGAAAGTGACTTACAGCGGCGGCGGCGGTTAATGGGCTGTGAGATGAGGCGCTGCTGCTACCGCCGCTGCTGACACTGAGGTTCCAGGGTCCGTCTGCTGCCCTTTGTGCTCCGTGTACATGTGTCTATTCAGCGCATCCGGAGGCGCCCAGAAGAAAATCCAACACGGCCGCCGGGGAGAGACCACCCACCATGCCCACGGAGACCCTACAGACAGGTAGCATGGTGAAGCCGGTCAGCCCCGCGGGCACCTTCACCTCCGCGGTGCCCCTGCGCATCCTCAACAAAGGGCCCGACTACTTTCGCAGGCAGGCCGAGCCCAACCCCAAAAGACTCAGCGCCGTGGAGAGGCTGGAAGCGGACAAGGCCAAGTACGTCAAGAGCCAGGAGGTCATCAACGCGAAGCAGGAGCCCGTGAAGCCCGCGGTGCTGGCCAAGCCCCCGGTGTGCCCGGGCGCCAAGCGCGCGCTGGGCAGCCCCACGCTCAGAGTGTTCGGGCCCAGCGCCAAGACCGAGAGCGGCGTGCAGAGGGAGACCCTGAAGCTCGAGATCCTGAAGAACATCATCAACAGCTCCGAAGGCTCCAGCTCGGGCTCCGGCCACAAGCACGGCTCCCGCAACTGGCCCCCCCACCGGCCGGACGCCACCGACCTGCACCGGCACTCCTTCGCCGAGTCCCTGAAAGTCTACCCGACGCAGGGCCGCGCGAGCCCGCAGGAGAGCAGCTCCCACGTGGGCAGGAGGCTGCTGGAGCAGACGGCAGAGTCCTTCCTCCACGTCTCGCACAGCTCCTCGGACATTCGCAAAGTGACCAGCGTGAAGCCCTTGAAAGCGATCCCCTGCAGCAGCTCCGCCCCTCCGCTGCCGCCCAAACCCAAGGTGGCCGCCCTGGCCACCACGAAGTCCCCCGAGGCCGACCCCGTGGAACCCGCCTGTGGAGTGAGCCGAAGGCCCTCCCTCCAGCGCTCCAAGTCGGACTTGAGTGACAGGTATTTCCGGGTGGACGCGGACGTGGAGAGGTTCTTCAACTACTGCGGCCTGGACCCCGAAGAGCTGGAGAACCTCGGGATGGAAAACTTTGCAAGGGCTAATTCCGACATCATATCCCTCAACTTCCGCAGTGCAAGCATGATCAGCTCGGACTGTGAACAGTCTCAGGACAGTAACAGTGACCTTAGAAATGATGACAGTGCCAATGACCGGGTGCCGTACGGCATTTCTGCCATCGAAAGAAATGCCAGGATCATCAAGTGGTTGTATAGCATCAAACAAGCTAGAGAGTCACAGAAGGTCTCCCACGTGTAAGAGCAAGTGCGTGCGAAGGAGGGAGGGGTGGGTCTCTGTCTGTGCATCCGCCGTTGTGAAGGTTGTGAGGTCTCCTTGAAGTGTCGTGAGCTTCTCCACTCTCTTTGTGTTGCTTGTTGTGCAATGTTTTCCAGTTGCATGCCTGTCAACCTGGGGACTGACCTGGCGTCCACGTCGACCGTGGCCGCAGAGCCCGGCTGAGCACACGGTCCTCTGCCAAACGTCTCCGGCCAGAATCCGATTAGGGCTTTGATCTCAAGCTAAACTGTTTACACGAAAACGGTATACAACTCCTTCAATATTTATGTGGTTCTTGTGTTTTCTATCCCGCGCTATTGTGTCTTAATTAAAAGTTTTATCAACTGGCTTTTAAATTGAGAGTAGAATCTTTTTGAAATGAAAAGCCAATTTGCCTACATGTGAGACCAAAACGATGGGGAAATAAATGGGTACTGCCCTCAAGCAGAGAGAATGACTGACCTGAGATAGAACCAGGCTGGGCTTTCTGAGGAGGAAAGTGGTAAGCCTGATGTTGAACACGTACACGTGGCAATTCTCTTGCCACTTGCTTAAAGCGACGATTGGGCAAGGATGCTACATTCTGTCTTCTATTCAGTGTGTAAATAAATATCGGTGGTTCTGTGTAATACTGACCCCAAGAAAAGACAGTAGTCAGATTCGAGGAAGGCGATTAGATCTGGGAGGTTGAATATCCAGGGTATTGTTGATATTTTTCTGATTTGGGTTCATTCAGAAATTTCTACTATTAATCTTTTGACAGGAATGACCACTCTACACCTGTTACTTGATGTCTTAAAATTTGGGGAGGTTTGATTTTTGTTTTTGTTTTTCTCTTTGGTCAATAACTAATTCTACGCTGACTCCCTGCTTCCCTTCCGTTATTGTTGTTTTATTTGGAAGAGGGAAGTGGGGTTCGTGCAGGTTTGCGCTATCTGAAGACATGAACACAAACGGAAATACCAGCCATATCAGTGTGTAGAGCCTCCTCTTCAACAGTGCACACCTTTGGTAGCTGAACCATAACTGAGCAGTGTGATTGTGTTGTCTTGCATATGTTACTCTCTCAAGCTGTGGACCTTTGTTACGGCCCTAGGAAACTAGAAACACAGCGCTATGTAGTTCCCCCCTCCATGGTCGCCAGTGCTGCATACGATTTGTTCCCTTCTTTCCCCAATAACCTGTCTTCCAGTTGGCTGTCCACCCGCTGACAGCTGTGGTGGGGTAGCAGAGAGTTAACACGTTCAGCCGCCCACTTCATTGCTCTTGTAGTTATGCTCTGAAGTTCAGGAGCACTGCCACAGGCTTCGTCAGCTTATAAGAAACTTTTTATGGTGTAAATGCTGTAAGACTTTGTACATACTTCAGTTGTTACGAAATCTTGAAGAAAAAAAGAAAAAGTTACGCTAATAAATAGCTCTGGTGCAGGCACTAATGGTGGTGGTTTCTCTGTGTACGTTCCTTTGCTCCCTCTACAAAAGGTTCGCTTTGGAATGTGAGCCGGATTTTTGATAGTCTTGAAGAAATATGGCATTGTAATGTTCACCGTATCACAACTATTTTGAACAGCAGTGTTCTTCATTGTGGCCACAGCAATAGGCTTTTGCTAAAATAGTTGCCTCGAGGCTCTTAAAATAGGCTTTCTCTTCTTAATTCACACTTCGGTTATTTTTATCCTAAACATCAAAGTCTTTCACATCTTCCACTAGACTCTTCAGTTGTAAATATGTTTGAGTTCTTACGGAGGAGGCATACCTTGGAAACTTACAGCCTCGTTCTTACTTATACCCACCCAACATCATTAACATGACATGAATCGTGCGTCTGTCACTCCACCACTGATTCTCCTTTTGACATGTCATTTGTGGAGTCACTTGTTTTCCAGGCCTCACAACAAACGGGTGACTCTCGTGGCCAGCAACGTAGTTTCTGCCTCAAGGGACTTGGATTTATTTTAAGAGAAATACCCCTCTTCATGGAAATGTCTTATCTCCTATTAGGACATATAGTATTCAACAAGTATTTATTGAATCAAGTTATTTGAAGGTTAATATTTCTTCAAAATTCTATATATTCATTAATATGTAAATGTAAAAGAAAGCATTATTTTAGAAAGTCATTTTCAGAAACAAATGATGTGACTCCCACCTATTACTGTTCATAAACATTTTTTCTTCTGAAAATGAAATGTGGTTCCTTGACTCTACTGGTTTTGAATTCTTCCTGGTTCTCTGATTAATTTTCAGCTCAGCTAGAACTCTGCTTCCCGGAAGAAACATTTTGAAATGCGGTTGGGTGGTGATTGGACAGTGCGTTGAAGATAATGGGATGCAAATACACCACACATATGTTCTTCCTTCAGCACTGGGATGGAAATGTGGCCTTGTAAAATACAGGGTTCGGCAGAAGGAGGGCCTGCTTGAGTGTGGTTGGTAGGGTCATAATATCGGTGTAAAAATTTATAGTTTTAATTTGAACTTTTTACCGAAAATGTCATATGGTGTGCTTGAGTGTGATATTGTCATGTTAGAGGATTACATGCTTATGAGTTTGTCATTTAAAAAGGGCCTGATTTGTGTTGGACCCTGTATTCAAGTCTTAGCACTTATATAATCCATCTCTTTCCGGGGCTATTGAAATCCCAAAAATAGATATTCCTTTTCTAAGGAAACCAGTTTGGGAGATGGATGAGCACTTCTTTGCTAATTTAATGTCACTGCCCTGTGTTGTTTTACTCATAGATTCTATTGAATCTTCCAACATTTCAAAAATCACGTTAAATTGAGTTTCAACAGGTCTATAAATCATCCCACTATAATTCAGTCTGATATTCTGTGGCCTTATTTGTACAATGAACAAATGAGGCTTTTTTGCTTCCCTTTAAAGAAAGTGGGAGCTCATTTTCTTTTTGTTCTCAAAATTAGAGTTTCTATAAAGGACTAATTCAAATGCTCAGTAGTAAACTCCTCAGAGAGAGATGTTTCCTAATTGTGAATTCTTCTTAGCAAAATGCTCACTCTGTTAGCGCATGGAAGCAAGTATCTCATGTGTGTGTGTGTGTGTGTGTGTGTGTGTGTGTGTGTGTGTGTGATGTTGGTAAGAATACACTTTTTCCTACACAGGGCAGAGTGAAGCATGATTGCACTAGATGGATCTGAAAACTGGTCGTTTCTTTCTGAAAACTACCAGATTATAAGACAGTCCTCCCATATCCACCTCCTCTGCCGTTGTCTTAGTTCTAACTCTCGTCTTCTCTCGCCTGACCTACTGCTCCTACAACTTCTCGACCAGAAGTCCCCCTCCCTTAGCCAGGCCCTTCCCATCCCGGGTCATGCCAAAGACATCACAGTCACCACTGATTGTGTAAAAACTCTGTAAAAATGTCCTCTATATAAAAGACCACTTCCAGCTTGAATGTTTTGTTGATAGTATAAGTCCTAACTTCTTGACAAAGACCCTTGGGCCTCCAATTTGCAGATCTCATCCCCTCTCTGCCCCCTTCATCCGCCCATCCTACACACCAGGCTCCAGCTGAGGGAGTTTCCATTGGGAACTTCTTACCACTGCAGTAACGATTTATTGCTGGGCAACACATTTCCTTAAAATTCAGTAACTTAAGACAATAAATATTTATTATCACAGTGTCTGTGGTTCAGGAATCCTGGAGTGGCTTAGCCAGATAATTCTGGCTCAGGATGTTTCATTCAGCTGCAGATGAACTATCAGCCAGGGCTGGGTCATCCGAAGGCTTGGCCGGGGCTGGAGCATCTAATTCCCAAACGGCTCGCTTGGCATTGGCAAGAGTCCTTACAACACAGCATGTGGCTTTCCCCGGAGAGAGTGACCCAAGAGAAGGCAAGGCGGAAGTCACACTGCCTTTTGTGGTCCGGTGTTCTAAAGCAACCCAGCCAGCACACTCAGTTCATACAGGGGTGTCCAACTTTTGGGGGTCTCTGCACCACATGGGAAGAAGAGTTGTTGTGGCCACACATTAAATACGTTGTGACACGAAATCACAAAAACATCTCATCGCATTTTAAGTAAATTTACAGTTTTCTGTTGGGACACATTCACAACCTTCCCGATGGTGTGCCGTCAGCAGACTGCAGGTTGGACAGCCCTGCGTCACTGAACGAGCCCCCACTCATGGAGAAGAGGGCTAGACGTCATCCTTTAAAGGAAAGAACATCAAAGATTCTATAGACATGTTTTGAAATCACCATGACTGCTGAGGCTCAGTAGCTTTTCGTTCTGTGAGAACTGCTTTCTCCTCGCTCCTTGACCTTGCAGGCTCTTGCTCTTTCAAGATTCAATGCAACTACCAACAAGCGAGATTACTTTGAGTTTCTATGTTGCCCTTCCCATTTAGGCTAGCTAACCTAGCCAGTGCCTTTGTGAGAATTTTTAAATAGTGTGCCTTCCTCAAAACATTTTATTTTCTGCCATGAAAAAAGAAACTGTCCTAGTAAATATACAGGTATCAAATGGTTGTGATATGAGCCACAGTCCCAGAGTTGGGCAGTGCATGTCACGCAGTCCAGAGTATATAGTCGATACTTAGTAAGTACATCATGTTTCTTTTTAACCTATTATATTTAAATCCTGTGCTCTGACACTATACATGTCACAATGAACCCAAGGTGGTAGCTATTGTCCCACGTACGAGGTTAAGAACTGCGATTCCAAGGAGATGAAGCCCCTTAACTAAGATCCCACAGGAAGCAAGTGATGGAATGTACTTGATCAAAGTCTATGAGTCCAGCTCTGCCCTCCCTGAAATCCAGAACAAGACAAGGACTGAGGCAGACTGAGAGTTGTCCTCAAAAACAGACATTCCCTTGAATTCATCTTTTGTCTACCGCCTGCATATATATATATATACATGTCTCAAAGTCAGAATTTCAGCAGTTTCACTCTTACCTAAATGGTAACCAATATAATTTAGAGAAAGACTTCAGCTGTTCTATTAGGAGTAACACACAGCCCATTGGGTTCAAAGAGACAAGGCTGTTAGAATTGCATTATTTCGGTTTTGAAAGTGCTGTGTTTTGAAGCCATATCCTGCCTATTTTGATCAAGGACTTTTAGAAGGGCAAACAGTAGAGAAAAATGTTTGGCCACAGTTCAGTAGTTAGGGAACACATTCTGACAATTGGGTGAGTCAGCATCTCTCCATTCCCCCAGCCTTGAGGATCTTCATGGTGTATTCAGACCAGAACATGCACTGGAGAAAGAACACAAAGGTTAACAGTGCTCCAGGAGAACTAAATAGATTCTTAACTCAGGAAAGATAGGACCGTTTTCAAACCTGCCTCGCCCCCCTCGCCCTGTGTGATGACCGTGAGTTCGGTTGGCTTCTGCAGTGCCTTCTGGGAGCTGTGCTAAAAGGACCACAGGCCTGGAGGCTGCATGTTCGGCTCTGACCAAGTTACCTTCCTGGAGGGTCTCTCTCGCATGTTCAGCTCATGCTCCAGAGACCCAGCAGAAGGATAAGCTACCCAGACAGGGCTTCTGCAGCCCTTTGCAACCCCTTCCTCCAACAACTGAGCCCCACCTGCCTAAGAGTTTGCTTCCCCTGTCTCCTCTGTAAAATGGGAGCAAAGCTGCTTGCTCTGGGTGTGTGCCCTGGGCTTGCTGACAGCTGAGAGCTGTTTTGGAACATTAGCTGGAAGTGTGAGGATATGAAAGTTTAGAGAAGACTGCGTTCATATCGTCACGGCAAGTGGAATGGCAGGCGAGGCCTGATGGGGCCCAAACACTTTGCTGAATTACACTTTGCCCACCGGCTGCTTGAGAGAGGTTTAGTTGGGGAAAGAAATGACGTCTATTAAAGGATTCTTCTCTCCATGGAAGGAATCTCCAAAAACTTTTTAGGTTGACAGAAGCTGATGGAATTGAATGTGCCCAGGTGCACACCAATGTAAAAAGTTAGGAGAATAATAATAACACAGTTTTCATCACTGAGCATTTCCTTTATTCCACATTCATGAAACAACTACCAGTACATCTCAGATGTGATGCTAAGTTGTCACATTATCTCATTTTATTGCCATGAGAACCTTAGAAATAAATTAGAATCCATTTGCCCTTGAGGGGTCTTAGGATTAAGCGACTTCCCAAAGGCTCACATCCAATAAGTGGAAAAAAATAACAAGGCCCCTCTGCGGGCTCATTCTGTCTGAAATTTTAGCACCTAGTGTGGTGGGGGCCATGCTGGCTCCTCTGCAGTAGGTCTTATTGCAGAATATTTTTCAGAAACTTAAAACACTAGTGTGTGTACTGGTTTGTAATTCTTCTATCCAGTGAGTGACTCGAAATTATTCATCCTACTTGATCACATCAGGACTGAGGCTTCCAGGCTGTTCTGAGAGGGACATTAGTGATCCACTGTCCCTCTCCATCGAATTTTAAGGAAGACAAAACATGCAAAG